TGACGGTTACAGGGACATGGACGCAGGAACGTACCAGACTGCCGGAAAGAGACATGGGGCCGGAATGCCACCGAAATCATCATGAATTGCGCGGAGGCTGCACGAAGTTTCGTGATGTAGGCTTGTATCTAGCTCGTTAGATCCATCTCTTGAGACCACTTCTTATCAAAGACGAAATGTTCAATTTCGAAGAGGTGATCAGGTTCTGCAGCTGTGAAAGAAGTTCATCACCTCATCTCCATCACATGCCTCCTCCACGGCCTCTGCTACATCGGTCGCAGCACAGGCGGTTTAAGTCAAATCACGACATGTAGAACCATGTTGTTGATATTCGAAGACAGCTTCAAGATCAATGATAGCTGTTTCATTGTCATTAATTCATGTTCACCGAAGCCCGGCCACCAAGACTCGCTGCATGTAGCCAACTAACCATGCACTGCCGTCACGATCGGTTTGACCCGCCCGCCCATGCCGCGCCTTCGGCTTTCGGGATGACACCTTAATCTTTGCAGTGTAAGGCAAGGATACGATGATAAGAAATCGCGTCTTTATACCCTAGACCCATGGACAGTGATTTAAATACGGCGGACCGCTCGGAGCTGGCCTGATCACACAGGAGCGAGGCGAATCGCGGCTGATCTTCGAGGTTTACATGCGCCTTGAAGTTGTACATCAAATCTATCAAGACGATTATAACCTACCACATGTTTTGCTTGAGGTGAAGAAAGGTAGATCTAGCCGGGATATTGGACCGAGAAACGAGGTCTTCGAGGCACATGTGCAAGAAGCTATTCTTGAGCCCAGGTGAGAACTACGAGACCTATCCGATGGTCGATTATCAAAAGTTCTCCAATCTCCCGCATTCTTCATATGCATTGCGTTCTCCCCTGAATAGACTCTGGTCCGTTGTCCACGACGTTGTATACCCAGGACAAAAGTCAATTGGTGGTATTGGGTACCAAAATGAATAGGCATAGCCCAAGTCATAGCTACGTTAGTTCCGCAAACGACATGTCGACAAGTATAAAGACGTTACACCTAAAAGTGATTTACAGCAAAGTCAGAGATTTAAAAAGCGCGTTATCGAGGGAGAAACTTGGTTCCCCGCTGGCTTCCAGTTTGCTACCTTCAAGGGAAGCTTTGGCGCTACAGTCTGTCAACAACTTCGGTTTCGTGGTGTAGTTGGTTATCACGTCAGTCTAACACACTGAAGGTCTCCGGTTCAAGTCCGGGCGAAATCATGTCCTTTTGCTTTTCGACGCAATTCACTTCACGATGCCAATTCTATCATTTTTGATGTTTTTGGAGCAATTCCAGATGTCGTTGAGCAAATTCCTTTCAAGGTTCAGCCACCCGCGATTTAGGTTTTTGACAGTTTTTGTTGGAGCCAAGGCCCGACAAGCCATTTCCGTGCCACACCGGATGCTCACCATTGAAGAAAAGGGTAATCTTTTAGCTATTATTTTCATATTGCTAATTCAACTAACTAGGTACTAAGGTTCCGATGCAATCAATCCGCGCTCGTAGTTTTCCAAACATGACAGATCCCTGTAATTCTCACGTCTCTCAGCCTCATGCCGTCGTCTTCTTTGCATCATCGCCGCCATCGGCCATCTCCAGCTGGCCGGTCGCAGCCGCTGCTCGTGCGACCTCGCTGCCAGCTGCCTCAGCTTCTGTGGCCGACCGACCCTCAACCTGTCCATCACCAGCGACCTCCGCTTCAGGCTTCTTGTCGCTATCGTTCTTAACAGTCTCTTTCGAATCAGCAGCCGGCGCCTGGGACGACGCCGACTTTCTGAAGATATTTACGCTTGGCAGCGACCAGCCCTTCTTCTTGCTGTCGTCAGCGGTGGGCTCGGCAGGTTGAGACTCGAGTTGGCCAGCAGCCGCTGCCGCTTGAGCAGTCTCGTTGCCGACAGCGTCACTTGCAGTCTCTTGATCTTCCTTCTTGTTGTCGGCGACGGCCGTCTCTGGCTTTGCAACATCTCCCGTCTTGGCGACATCCCCGACGGCTTCGTTCGCCTTCTCGGTCTCTGGCTTCTCCCCGTCAGCCGGCACTTGCGAGGGCGTTGCCTTTCTGAAAATGTTGACACTCGGCAGCGATGCCTGGCCCAAGGATGAGACCGAGGTGGGAACCTTGGGCATATTCGGCATGTTGGGCATGTTCGGCATGTTGGGCATACCTGGCATACTGGGCATACCAGGAAGCCATCCCTTGACGCCTGTACCTGTTGACTGCGCGATGCGGAAGAGATGCTGCATGTACGTCCGCTTCTCCTCGTTAGTCATGTTCTCCGGGTTGATATCGCCCACCAAATCTCCCTCACCGTCGGCGGGGAGTGGCACGAGCGAAGCAGCGGCGGCGATGTCAATCGGTGACTCGTCGGGTATTCCATCATCCGTCGACTTTGACGCTTCCTTCTCGTTGAACTTTTCGTCAATCTTGTCGTCCGAGTTTTCTGCTGGTGCTTCGGTGTTCGAAATAGCTTTCTCCAATGTTTCCTCAACCTCGGCATCCTCCGCAACCTCCTCGGGCGGCGTCTCGCGGAACTTGGCATCATCGACAACAGGCTCCTCGCTCTTGAACCACTCAATCACCAAGTCGGCCGCATTCTCTGTCATCTTCTCGTACCCCTTGTGCTTCGCAGGCTGGAACATGGCCATATGCGCAGCCACCTCGTCGTCAACCTCTGGCAGAACCTGTCGCGAGAAGAGCGATGAAGCAGGATGACTCTCCTCCGGTACGGCGCAGAACGTCCGCTCGGGGACAAAGTAACCACCCTGCCAGTACCCGTTCTCGCCCAGCGACGCATAAAAGTCGTGAATGCCGACACCCTTGAGCGCACCCATCCGCTCGAGGCGGCGGTTGAGTTCTTTCTGCTTCATGAGCGCGCCAACGAAAGTGAAGTGGTCCGAGAGCCAGGCAAAGGATTGGCCGACGTTGCCGCGGTTGATATACGCCAGCCCCTGGCCGAGAGCATCGACGCTCTGCTGGTACCCTTCCTTGACGGAGTTCTTGTTGAGGCCCTTGAGGCTCTTCATGATGGCCTCGCGGTTGACATAGGCGGCGACGCCGCCGGCAGCGATGGCGCCCACAGTGCCTGTTCTCACGGCGACGAGCTGCCATGTCTTCCAACCTGGGTTTCGGGTGGCCGTAGTCGTCACGGCAGAAGTTGCGGCGCGGCGGGTTCCTAGGCGGGCGAGGGTAGAGGGCGCGGCGGCCGAGAGAGCCGTCATGACGTTAAAGACGCTGCTGACTTTTTGGTAGTTTGAGAAGCCGCCATAGACGAACATGGAGCGGGCGAGGCCGTTGTAGGGGGTGTCGAAGGTGAGGATGCCCTGGATGAGGGGGAAGATTGGGTCATCTTCGGATGGGTTAGACTGCGCCCGCTCGTTGATGGCTAGGAAGAGCGAATCTGCGGCGACGAATCCTCTGAGGTGTGTTAGGCTTGGATCACTTGAGCGTGCAGATTTGCAAGACTGCCTACCCCATAGAATGAGCGACGAGAACGACTCCGACTTCTCTGTCCTTGGGTGGCCAAGGTTTCTCGACGCTGGCCTTTCTTACATCCATGACCCTCTCCTTCAGCCTACATGGTGTTAGCATGCTTCAGGGTAATGACTACTGCGAGTGGTAAGTAGACTGACCATGCGAGAAACGCCTCGGTGGCCTGCGCCAGCTCGCCTTTGGTCTCATACTGAGGGTACACGATGGACTCGACGCGATGGTCTCGGAGTTGCTTGGTGACTGATCGCTTCAGGTCCTACATCGCAAGCATCAGTATAGAAGAAATGGGCGCGTGGTGTCGAAGTAGTCTCACATCTGGAAAGTCGTGAAATGTGTCTTCGTTCCCCTTGTGAAATTTGTACTTGTTAGCTGCTTGCTGTGCCGGCGCATCGATGGCTTGCTGTTGTTGTTGACTACTCACTTTGAAGCCATGGATGAAACACAGAAGCAGTGTCCGAGGCATGATGGTCTGATGATGTGCTCCCTTCTCTAGATACGGTGATAGGGACTCAGGAAAGAATTAGGTATCTCGAATAGGTAAAATCTGACAGAAAGAGGGTAGAATAATGCTAGGTATTTCGCAGGTAAAGGGTATCATGAAGGAGAACACATTCGTGGCAGCCAAGAAAGGACGGCCGGTGCTCATGAGAGTAATATCCCGCATCTTCCCACCCCTCCCTCCCACTCTCCTTCTGCATTTCTCGTCCTCTTACACCACCAAGGCAGATGAATGAACCAACCAGACACTCCATGCAGAGCAGTGACGATTGACTGAGCGGTTCGTGCATGTGCAACTGCCTTCCCTCAGTTCAATTTGTTCCAGGTTTTTCCCAGCCACACCTTCTCCGCTGTGAAGCTGCGAAAGTTGCGTGGGCGCGTGGCGAGTGCGTCGCTGCTGTGAGCCAATGGCACATGGCGCAACTTCGGCCAAGACGTCACCGACGACGTCATGTTGCCGCACCTCGAACTTTTGGCGTCGGGGCCTCTCATCTCACTCTTCACTCACAGCTCACTCACACACTCACTTACACTCTGTGCCTCTCTCTCAGCCACTCACTCACGGTTTACTCACTCACTTCACCCTCTCAGCTTGGGTCTGGGCCCTTTCTCACCCACATCAACCCTTCCATCCCAGTCCATGTCAACACCCAGACTGTCAAATCAAAATCCTGTGATAGATACTCACCTGCCATTTTCCGTAAGGTGCGGCACGTCACAACAAAAGTCAAATAGACGAGCCCGATGCAGATCTGTAGAACTGGGTGACCCCCAGGTGGGATTGGCTGATCCTCCTCCACGTGCGATCCAAGATCTTCAGCTCACGATCGCAACGATGCATGAACCCCCGGTCTGTCAAGTTGAAGGATTTCCAAGATTCGCTCGCATGGAATCTTTTGCATTTGATGGGTTCCAAAAATCTGGTTCTGATATGATCCACCCCTATGACCTACAATCTCAAACCCCATCACTGCCATCCCATATCCACCATCCCTCACTTCGCTGCCGCGGTCTTGTTCTTCAGGTACCCAAACGACAACGTCGGATCAAACTTCCCAATCACCGTCTCGTTCGCCGCAGAGCCATAATCCCACACGGTATAAAAGTTCCTCAACAACGGCGTCCCAATCAACACGAACCCAGACTGCGCGCCATCCTCAAACGGAGGCCAGCACGCGTCATCCCGGTACGCAAACCCTGGTCGCGCCAGCTGATCGCCCGGGATCTCAATCGTCTGCGGGTACCGGTAGTCACCGAAAGTAAACTTGAACGACCACGACGAGTTGAACTCGCTGCAGAGCGGGATGTGCTCGCCCTTGAGGATCTTCGTGTAGTTCATCCCGATGGACTCGTACACGGCCAGGTTCTGCTTCGTCGGGAGGGTAATGGACCCCGCGCCCGTGTCGAAGACGACGCGCGCCTGGTCGAAATCCGTCTCCGTCTCGATGACGCTGCCGTTGCTCGTCGTCCGAGTGCCGTTGACCTTGAGGATCGTAGACCGCCAGACATCGTAAGTGCCGTCCACGCGGGTGATAGGGATCGTGACGAGGTCGCCCTCGACGTACTCGTGCTCGCGAGAGCCACCGATCGTCAGGACGCCGTCGCCGGGCACGCCGCTCGTGTTCTTGGCCTCGGTACCGTAGTAGATTCCAAACTTTGCCGCGTCGAGGCGGTTCTCCGCCATGAGGGTCTCGACGACGGTGTTGGCACCGCCGTCGATGATGGAGCTGAAGCCGAGACCCATGAAGCCGTCAGCGGCGAGCGCGGCCCAATTGCTCTCGTTTGCGGCGATGAAGGACTGGTCCCAGGTGAAGTTGCCGATGGTCCATTTCTCGGCAACCGTGGGGCCGGCGACGTCGCCTCCGAGGTAGGGGATCACGGCGCTTTCGCCCGTGTAGTGGCCGCTGGTTGAGGCGTTGATGCTGTAGCCCGTCCGATCGTATCTGCCAATCTATGTATTAGTGACCCTGAAGGATGATCTTGCTCAGGAGATTTGGTTCGAGAGACGCACCCGCTACCGTTGTTGCAGTTTCCCTTGGCGAGGCACTGGCTGTCGGTCGCCCACGAAGAGGAGCTTCCCGTATCGAAGAGGAGACGGAATGTCTTGGCTGGCGTTCCGATGCCGAACTCGACAACTTTCTATGATGCATGTGTTACTACGTATTCTCGTTATCAAAGGCTGTAGATGGAACTCACGTAGCCATTGTCGACAATAATGCCCAGATCAAGCACAGCCGCAGTCGCAACTGACGCGACCGCCGCCGCCGAGAACAAACGAGTGACGGGCGACATGGTATCAATGATCTCAAAACTGACGTATCCAAACGATTGACAAGATCTATAGCGAGAAAGAGGATCAACAGATCAGACGAACGGGCCGGCGGGATGGGCATGCCATCTTTAACAGTAGAGCTTATTTACTTAATGTGCCCATCGTCCTGCATTATGGCGATCATATGCAACCTCGTAAAGGGCGGATGCTGCAGGGAGTCTCAGTGGGGAAGGTCAATCTCGACAATGCCGGGTTTCCCTCCACAATCAAGTTGTCAACCCGTCCCACGCCCATCTCTGTGCCGGACAAGTCAACAACCCGCTCGCCGTGGGGCGACCTGCTGCTATTTTCGTTCATTTGGTCGTGTTGCTCCGCCTTCCGCCGTTAATCTAGTTCTCCGGCGCCGTTGAACGGGGCGGCGTGGCTGCTAGCAGTTGACCTATCGTATCCGTATTGTAGAGGCCGAGGTGTGCTGAGACTACGAGGAGATCGGCAGCTGAGCCGAATACAGCGAGACACTTGTTAGAGTCTTTACCTGCTCCGTATCTTCGATTCCCATCTTCATGTCCTTCTTCAGCCCTACCTCTGCTGGTCAACCGCCTGACGTTAGTTGGGGGGCTGATCCGAGAGACTCCTGACTCGAAGCCGTAGTTCATCCCGTTTGTGCACGACCTAAATTAGGTAGGCAATTACACTTGTTTGCGTTCTATGGCAGCCCCTGTCATGCGTCTGCTCACTCTGTTAACCTTTACAGCCCATTTATTTGGCTCTTCCCAGGTCCAACGCCCCGAGCAAGGCAATTCATCAGCGAGTGCGAGTGCAACCTACCAAACTCTCGGTACACGATGATCACTGATTGAATGTCTCTGAGGCTGTGCGGCTTCTTAACGTTCTTTGAATGAGATTCCCTTCACCTAGTCTGTTGTTAGACCTTTATGTACACCAAACTTGAACATCTTCACAGTGCCTTCACAACAACCTCAACCCCCTCAAGACCCGCACCGGAAGCCGTGATGGTGATATCTCCAGCAATACCCTCATCAGACCTCACAATAGCCAACACAAGACCGTTGTACGCCTTGCGGACCAACGACGGGAACGCAACCAAGTCCGCCGGGTCACCGTTGTCAGTTGCAACAATCTCACCAGGTCCGCTCACGGAAAAGGTAATCTCATCGTCCGCGAACCTCACCACATCGCCATTCGCATCCAACACCTCGACAGTAACAAACGACAAGTCCACGCCGTCGGCCTTGATCGTCGTACGGTCCGCAGACCCGCGAAGCTTCGCCGACGCCCCGACCGTTCGCACCGTTGTCTCGGCCCACTCCGCGCCGTCTTTATACGTCGCGACCCGGATCTCACCGGGCTCATACACGACATCGTCCCATCGGAACCGGTACGTCAGCTCCGCGCGCGTCTGCCTACCCTGCGAGACCCCGTTTACAAACAACTCGGCCTCGTCCGCCGACGTGAAAACATGCACGGGGGTGACCTCGCCGACGCGGTCCTCAGGCCAGTTCCAGTGCGGCAGCACATGCGCAAACTTGACATCAGGCCTCCAGCGCGCCTGATACAGGAAGAAGCGGTCCTTCTTGAAGCCAGCGAGATCGATGATGCCCGAGTAGGAACTGCGCGCGGTGTAGTACGGCGTCGGCTCGCCGAGGTAATCCCAGCCCGTCCAGACGAACTCGCCCGCCACAAAGGGGTGCGTGTCCTGCGCCTTGAAGACCTTGTCGGGCGAGGAGCCAAAATTGGCCGAGTAGAGCTCGTACGCGCTGACCTGCTGCGAGGTGGAGTTTCCTCCGGAGGTGTCGTTGACGGGGGCGCCCGTGTCGCCCGTCACGGGGAACATGTAGGTCCCGCGCGTGCTGAGCGCCGAGGCCGTCTCGCTGCTAAGGATCATCTTGTCCGGGAAGGCCTCGTGGAAGTCGGCGTACAAGGGGTGTGTTCTCACGCCCGGGAGGAAGGAGTAGTTTGGTGTGTCGCGGATGCCTTCGCCCTGGTAGTTTAAGCTGAGGACGTCCATGGCGGTAGGGAAGGACATGTTTGGCTTGGCAAAGTTCATCGACGCTGTCGAGGGCCGGGTGGGATCTTCCTCGCCCACGATGCCGTGCAGCTCAAGCGCGGGGACGGTGCCTGGGTCGCCAATCTGCTGCTCTGAGACCTCGTTGCCGAAACTCCACATGATGACGGAGGCGTGGTTCCGATCACGGCGCATCATGGCACGTAGGTCTGCCTCGTGCCAGTCCTCGAAGATGAGGTGGAAGTCGTTTGCGGTCTTGTTGCGGTACCACGAGTCAAACACCTCATCCATGACCAGGAACCCGCGACTGTCTGTCAATTCGAGCAGTTCGGGCGCGGGAGGGTTGTGAGACATGCGAATGGCGTTGCAGCCGAGTTCCTCGAGGACCTCGAGCTGGCGCTCGGCGGCACGGGTGTTGAAGGCTGCGCCGATGGCGCCGAGGTCGTGGTGGTTGTTCACGCCCTGAATGAGGACGTGTTCGCCGTTGACGAGGAGGCCGCGGTTCGCGTCGTAGGTCACGGTGCGGATGCCGAAGCGAGTTTCGTAGGTATCGACGACGGCGCCGGCGACGGTGACTGTCGTGACGGCGACGTAGCGGTTCGGTTTCTGGGTCGGTGGTGGGCCCCAGAGGAGGGGGGATGTGACGGTCGTTGAGCCATTGACTTGTGCTTTGCTGCCAGCCGTGACAGAGGTTGATGAGCTGGAGAACTCGGCTACCTTGGCTCCCGGCTTGTCTGTCGAAGCGTCGAGGAGGTGGATTTCGGTGGAGACTTCGACATCCTGGTCGGAATCGCCCTTGTTCTCGACATCAACTACCAAGTCCACGGTAGCAGACTCGGAGGAGACGTCCTTTGTGACGATGTAGGTTCCCCATTGCGCGACGTGGACCGGGCTGACCTTTGTCAACCACACGTTGCGGTAGATGCCACCTCCAGGGTACCAGCGTGCCGAGTCTGGGGGGTTGTCCAGTCGGATGGCGAGAACGTTGTCTTGTCCAGTCTTGAGGTGCGCCGTGAGATCGAGGCGGAACGAGTTGTACGGGTAAGGCCAGCCACCGATCAGGTAGCCATTGAGCCACACCATCGCGTAGGACATGGCTCCATCCACATCGAGGAAGATGGACTTGCCCTCATCCTCAGGGGTGACCGTCAATGATCGACGGTACCAACCCACGCCATGCACAGGCAAGCGGCCCATTCCACCACCAATGATGGGATTCTCCTCGGTATAGAACGGGCCTGCGATAGCCCAATCGTGAGGCAGATTGACACTCTCCCACGAAGCATCGTCAAAGCTCGCTGATGCATACGAGACATTGCGCGAGGGCTCGCTACCGGGGCGCTGGTAGTGCTTAGCCGGGTCGTTGATGAAGTCGTTGGCAGACGGCAGGATCCACGGCTTGAGCGCAAAGGTGTCGGTCAAGTTCACGAGGTCCGGGCGCTGATCGTAGATGAGGCCGTCCGGGTTGAACTCTGAGCGCCAGAAGCGCCATCCCTTGTTGATGCTCACGCGCTCGCGTCCGTCAGTGGTCGGCGTGGACGAGTTCTGTCGCGGCTGGATGGTGAGGGCATTCGCGGGGCTGAGAATGAGCAGCAGCAGGCTCAAGAGAGTCAGCCCGAAGGCTCGCGTCGGCAACGAGGACCGTCGTGAAGTCGTCATCATCTTGGGAGGTGATTTTGAAGTGACTGTGACCTTACAATACGATCATGACGCGCCTTACCTTGGAGTCTTATATGGCGGGTCATGATGTGGTCTTCAACGTTTGTATCCCATCGGCCAAGCTAGGAAACTTTTCCTTGACGTATTTCCGCCCCATTATTCGGCGACGGATTCCTAAAAGACTCCACGAAGAGACCGCGAAACCCTCGCACCGGTCCATCGTCCCTCGGCTTTCCTTGACTATTGTTGATGGGGAATCACCGAACCATGGGGTCCAATTTCGGGTGAAAAGCCTCCAGGGCCTCCGCACCCCGCGTTTCTCCGCACGGTAGTACGACGATACAGGGGTCCGGGGCGCTCATCGACGGCAATTCCACGATGCATTTAGCCTGAATTTCTGCTTGGATGTGGTCATTGGGCCGCCTGTGACCGTTAGGAGGGGGCCGAGGGGGAATATTTCTTGGAGTTGGCTGATCCCCTAGGCAAAAGTTAGTTAAGAAGCTTATGGGAAGTTGGGGATCGCCTCTGTAGTCAGCGTTAAATCCCCCACCTCCCGGTCATGACAGAGTCATGGCATTCTTGCGTGCTGATATTGCCGGTAGAGCATTTCCTCGCGTGATATGAGGAAGGATTTATGTTTCCACCTTGTCGGTTCGATGGAGCAACAAACTAAGGTGGAGCAACATGCAATGCTAAGCACTCAATACATCCTTACAGTGTGCGGCAATGCGTAGAGACATGGACTATTGCTAGACGCTTATCCGCAGCTTCAGCTCCCTCTAGTGCCAACAGCATATGAGTCTATACAATCCTATCAAGTTGTTGTGATGGCATCGTCTCATCTATTTCGTGGGCGCACACATTGTTTCTCTGCAGATACGAGATACCAGAAGTAGGGGATTATGCACGTTATTCAGGGCACCTAGACCTGTCCCAAAATCTCACATCATGCACATGTAACATCGACTGAAGTTTATCATCAGGCTCCGTCCTGACCTCAATCGTGATGAACGTCAGACTGCATTAACCTGTGCATCAAGTGACCCATTCTCGTCATTTTAAATGTTTGACTCGGAGCGTCGCGAGATTTTGGAGCGGAAAGACCGGTCACAATGGTCTCCAGGAGATGGACACCTCGCGTACTTGGAAGCGTGGGAGGACGGTATGATCTCAACTTCCTCTTTGCGCCAAGCTGAAGAGCAGGTACCATGCTGATTAGAAACTATTCGAAAGGCGATTTTGAAGAGGTGCCCGTTCTTGCTGGGCCTCTGGAAGACTTCGAAGTTGATGATTGGCTTCGTCAAAGGGGCAAATTTTCACCCGCAGGTCGACAGTCCCGTCCAAGGGCACAAGTCCGTATACTGCTATGCGAACGTTTAGGATTTCGACCTCTGGAGTTCGCTATGAGCCGTAAATCTTTTCTTTCGGTCGAACACGTTTTTGGGCTGCCCTCTGTGTCTCTACCGATATTGGAGGGGAACACAGGAACCCAACACGCTCATCTGAAATACAAAAAAGACTTGAGCGGTCGGTCGTTAACCTCGCTCGAGGCATTAGGTACGGGCAATGTAACAACATTTCTAGTACATGCGAGTGGTCAATTGATAACGTACTGCCCCAGTCCTAACAATAAAACAGCCTCAGATGTTCCAGCTTGGAAATCTAGGCATGGCAATGTCCCACCATTTTGAGACCCGCACAACTCTTGCCTTCATTCACGGCTGGGACATCTTCTCCAACAAGTTAAAATTCACCAAGAAACCAATTGCACCTCACATTGAAGCTATTCAGGAGATACTCAAGTCATCACGGAGACTCCTGTCTCATCCCCTACTTCTCCCCACCTTGTTCCTCCGACGGCATTTGACCAGAGCAGAGGACATGAGAAGGCAGCTGAGCTCCATGACAGCGGAAATTGAAAAGGCTATCGGGGTCACCCAGACAGCTCGGCTTTCCGGGAGAACCGTCCAGGATCAACGCATTGTGGAAGAAGTGAAGGCTATGGTCTTGGGCGAGAAGCCGAGGATTCACACGACCGCACGGATTAGCACCACGGCCACTGATGTAATCAATATGAAGGGGACTCTCGAGTGGGACGAAGAATACGTCAAATTTCTCCGCCGTGTCAATGACGATGTCAAGGCTCACCCTCACGAGGCACATACGCCCCCGGAGGCAGATCTGCAGCTCTGCGGCTTCATCGACCTTCTGGAGCGAGATGCGCAGTCTATCTCATCATATGCAACCAGGATGCAGTCCAGACTGGAACTTCAATTCAACGTGGTAAGAAATTTTGAAAGACATCGATGCAGTGAGGATCAAGAGTGAAGTCATCCATCATCGCTAACGTTTGACGCACGTCAGCTCTACAATCTCATCGCCCAAGCCGGGAATAGCCTCAATATGCAGCAATCAACACAAGCCGGGCAAGTCGCAGCGCAAGCCGGAATGGACAGCACAGCTATGAAGACAATGGCAGTGGTGACGATGATATTCCTTCCTCCAACCTTTGTAGCCGTAAGTCTTACCGCCTCATTGGATTGCCTTTAGCCTTGCTTGAGGTGCCCAGCACTGCTGGCATATATTCACGAAGCACCGCTGACCAGTTTTCTCGACAGACAATTTTTAGCATGTCCTTTTTCAACTGGCAAGCTTCATCGTCAAGCGGCGATGACGGCGGTGCCGAGCCCACCGTCGTGCCACAGTTTTGGATCTACTGGGCCGTCAGCTTGCCCTTGACCATCGCCATCGTGATTGGCTGGCGAGTGTGGTGGCATTTTCAGAAGGCTTATTATGAGACCAAGTTTCTGACACCAGAGGAGCACGTAGTCTATGAAGATAGACGCCGTGGCAAGAGCCGTGAGAGGAGCCGTGAGAGGAGCCGCGACAGGACTCATGACCCGAGGCGACGGCGGTCACGATATCAAGTATGACGATTCATACTTGCTATTTGGGCACTTGGAGGAATGTGCTTTCTTATTCAAGTATTTTTTCCCCTATAGTTGGAAGCGCGCATTCGTATTCGTATAATCCGTTGAGTCACGCTTAACACTTTTATGTTTGAGTGGCAGAAGCACTTGGCACCCATGGCGTGCTCTCAAGCACACTATATCTGAGATACGCCCGATACGCTGGATTGGTTTCTGCTGTGCCCTATGATCATCGGCGATATCTTTACGATTTCGTTACAGGATTTGATAAATTCGAATAGTAGAATATTCCCCAGCTTTTCTTTGAAAGTTAATTGCCTACTAGCTTCTGAGATCCGGCTTGAATCCTCTCCACATCGGCCTCGGCTTGCTTGTACTTACAGTTTGACCGAGACCATCTGCCAATGTGGGGCCCATCCAACGTCGATACCGGGGACCGGATCGAGAGCCGAGTTGAGTCACGTACCAAAGTTCCTTCTGTAGATAGCAAATACACATATAACATGGCCAGTTTTCTCTCAGCCTAGCTGAGTTTTCACGACTCATACCATACTTTATTCGTCGTCTTTCGTGGAATTCCAAAAGATAACGAATGCCCTACTGTGGGACTTGTCATTCGAAAGGCGCAACTCCAAGCAATTTACACAATCTACCCACGCGCTCCGCCAATAACATCATTCCGATATACACGCCTCAACCATGGCCTCACCCAGCACCGAAATGCGGGATCGCCGCTGGACGAGAGACTCGTACCTCATCTCGACAGATGCATCTCTCGTCTCCGTCACCCAACTCAACGCTGCATTCGCGTCGGAAGCCGTCTACTGGACCAAAGCCATACCAGAGTCCTTCGTGAGAGAAATGCTGGAAAACTCACTCTGCTTCGGCCTCTACGACACCACCACTTCTCAGAAAGAATCCAGCGGCAGCAGCGGCACCGAGACGAAGGAGTACCATCAATTAATCGGTTTCGCGCGTGTCGTCACCGACTTTGTATCCTTTGCCTACACCACGGACGTGTGGGTTGACCCCACGCTCCAAGGCAAAGGCCTGGGAAGATGGCTCGTGGGATGCGTGCAGGAGGTGCTCGAGCCGATGCCGTATTTGAGAAAGAGCGTGTTGGCTACCGATAGCTGGGACAAGTCTGTGCCATTTTATAAGCAGATGATGAAGATGAGCGTGATTGGCGGGCAGCCGGGAGGCCAGGCGATCATGCAGATGAAGGGGAAGGGGGCGCCTGGGTACACTGAAAAGACCGATTAAAGGCTCACTACTGCAGCAAGTTATAGACAATTGTATCCGGATTTAGATCTAGATATTTTCATGCACGCGCCGAGTATTTAGAAATATAAGCTAGACAAGATCTCTGCGTAAGAACACCGTTCTTCGAATGAGCAAGTTGCCATCCGGATCCTTTTCTGGGAACCCATAGAAGTTGTTGATGGTATGGATCAGTTTATATCCTCTTCTTTCATACCATGCATGTGTCGGCGTCTACGTGAAACCATCATGTCAGTCGTCTACAACTTGCAACGATTTTAAAGGAAACAGAATCAACTCACTGGCGGAAGTTTTCCCTGAGCCACAACCATGGACTCCTTTCTCAACTGGTCCTCCTTAGAGACCGTATCCAACATGAGTGTCTTTGCGCAGAGCGGCTCACTGGTGGCCATGCTCTCAACCAAGTCCATGGCGGCCCTGGCGATACCGCAGCTCTGCAGTGCGAATGACACGTAGAGGCTCTTGATCCAGTAGACATTTTCCTTTGGGATCGGGAGATTGAGGGGCGCCGCGGCGGGATTGTCGATGTCGAGAGAAATGTGGCCGACAGGGTGGAAGGATGTGCCTGTTGGGGTTCGCGGGGTTGCGCTGATGGATTCTGCTGTGTCTAAAATGGGGTTCTTCTCCTGTGGCACGAATGTGAGCATTGATGCACGCACGAGAGGAGGCTTAATGGGATTGGGATTAAACTGACTTTGGGATATTCGGCGATGTGCTTTGCCAGCCTTGCTTCTCGCTCAGGATCCTCATCTGCAAGTACCTGTGAGCGCGGTTAGTGGATGCACTGCTACAGAACATGACGTTCAATATGGAGATTGAGGAGAGATGCGCCAGTCTCAATGAATCGCTGTGTTTGGCAATTCGAATAGCACCCCCTTTGTGAAAGCAAAAACTTACAAGCCAGTAGATGCACTTGAATCCGGTTCGTTGGTTCTCCTGCCATTGCGGCACTAGGTCCGAGGCCCAGCCGCATGCTATTCTCTGATCTATCATTCTTGTGACGTGGTCTGGGGACTCGGGATCCCAAGGGATCAATTCAACTTTGGCTCTTGACATTGTGCTGACACTACCTCTTGCGCGCCCAATCAAAGTGGTGAAATGTCTTTTTGAATCCTTAGTCAAAGCCCGGTAGGAAGAACACAGGGATTACTGTCGGTTTGAATGAGAGGATTGGGGTTCAGCTTTAAGTCAAGAAAGTGCACTTTGAAGGAATGTCGTGACGGTGAGTCATTAAGTAGTAAAATGTAGCCTAATTCCTCCCGGATTGTCAGACTCTCGCTCTCTGAAGATTATGTTCGGTTGGAGCCGGTCGGCGGGTCTGGAAAACACCTAACTCACTCGGCCGGCTTCTTGGAACTTTCTTCGGCTTCGGTCATTAGAGACGGGGAACCAGGGAAGGATACTCGAGCCGACGCGTTACATTAGCGTTTGTGGGGCGCTCAATGACACCATCATCCCACGCGGGTTATGGGTGGACGGAGTAGAGAAAGACCGTGAGAAACAGCTCAACAGTACGCGTCGGGCGCTCGTAAATCGTTTTGGGATGGCCCTCAAGGCAGTCAGTTGGGCAGTGTAGCACTCAGATCGAGGGGTAAACTGGTTGGCTGCTCGCACCTAGGGGCTGAAAGTATCTTCATGCAGGACAATGTCACTGGTGCTTACATGTATCAACGAACCCTTGCTTTCTTAACGATTGACTTCATGTCAAGAAATTTGAAGATGCTTGTTAAGATGTGATTGATTATCTTGTAGAATCCATGTCGCTCCCCAATAAACAAAGTAGCCACGATTAAACGCCCCCTTCCATTCTATCCGGTCATGCAAATGTTATGCTAAAGTCTACTATGGAGGCATCACCCACGACCCGTTCGAGAACCAGGTCCCGGCCTGTGTATAGTCTAGCGTCACACCGTCCTTCATGTACGCAAATCTAAAATACTCGGGAAGCACCATCTTGGCCTTCCTCAACCACACAAACTCGTTGTCGACGGGGCCATCGGCAAAATAATACCGGAACCGCTCGACGTCGTTGACTAGAGCGCTGATACCGTCAAACTCGTTGGCGATATTTGGCGGTACGAGCCAGCTGAAGGTCACACTGGGCTCAAAGGAGCCCGTGGAGAAGATTGGTTTCGCAATTTGCGGGAGCAGCGAGTTGAAGGGGCCGTCCTCGCGCAACTCATCGGGCGTCTGAAGAACCGAGTCGAAGCCCCATCGCGCGATGCCGTTGACGAAGAGGCCCAGCAGCATCCCCTGGTAGAACAGAGACGTCCGCGTCTGCATGCTGGTACCAGGGAGCAGACAGAATGCCATGATGTAATGGTGCACGCGGAGGTCCACGCCCGGAATTGAGACGCCGACAATGACGGCAGCCAGGAAAAGCGCATAGAGCGCAAGAAACCGAGGTAGTCTCCCCTCGAGCCAGAAGAAGTAGACCTGCTTGGCCATCACAAAGGTCAGGATGATCAAGATGAGAGCCAGCGCGGGCTTGGCGCCAGGCTGGTGCTCAATGTCGTGTGCCGTGAGGCGCTGGATCGGCATCCATCCAAATGTATAGTTCGACAGCGCGCCGAACCAGAACCCTCCCAACCAGAGCGCTGTCTTCTCGAACTGGGCCCTCAGATCCGTAAGCGTTCGTCGGACGCAGAGCCGGTAGAGCACGGCGGCGCAGAAGAGAGCCGGCAGGAGGCGGCCGGTGAACTTGGAGATACGATCCGGTAGGACGGAGGCAGCGTGCCGCGATGCTGTGGGCGGATCGGAGCCGAAGCTAACATGAGCAAAGATGCCGACAAAGGAGACGAAGAACTGCCACGCCGGGCTCGTTGTGAAGAGGGAGAAGATGGAGGTGAAGAACATGGATGTCGGTAGGAGAGCCTGGCGGGGGTCACGCTTGCCGCACTGAAGGGACGGGTCCGAAGTGAGGTTGTACGACAGCGGGAAGTACGAGTCAAACGGAACGGTCTCGACGCCGTTCTTAGTCGTGCTATTGAACCCTGCGTGCTGGCCGACACGATGAAGACGGCCGCAGCCTCCGCTCAGGTCCGTCACGATGCCTGCGTGGATCGCTGAAGCGCAAATCATGGAGTCGCCGCGGTAGATCTCGTCGCCTACGACCAGCGGCTGGTAGACGATCTCCCGGTCACCGACGGCGTGGGGGTTCAACAACTTGTGAGCCATGCAGTTTGCCGGACACCTGAAAGAAAATGAAGAGTTCGTAAAGGGCCTGCAGTCGGCACCGTCAAGCCCGCACCCATTCTTGAAGCGCCAAAGGGTGTCGCCGCAGTCCAGGTTAATGACTTCCCTACCGAGCCTATCCCTGATCGCCCGGGACGACGCGAGTGGAATGGAGAAGGCGACGGCCCACAGCGCCAGGAACACGGCAACGACGACGGCCTTTCGGCGCGGCGTCGGCGCCACGAGGTCCAGCAGACGCGGCGGCGCTTCCTGGACAGCGGGCAGGACGGGCCGGATAGTATGTACGCGCGGCGGTTGAGGTCCGGCGAGGCAGTGCCGCTTGTGGGGGACGTGAGGGCCGAACTTCTGCTGCGAGAGCAGCGAGGGCGTGCTGGATGTGCTCTCCTCGAGCTCGTAGCCTTCTTCTCCTTCGGCTAGGAACTGTGCCTCCTCGTCGGCGCTCCGGCGCGACGACGCGTCATAGTCGTCGTCCATGTCCTTGAATGGGCGGTCCCCGACGCGGGGACCATCGCCGGCGCCCATTCTGT